AACTTAGAATTGCATATTCTGTGATACGGGTTCACAAGAGAAGGAAACAGAGCCTTATTCATACACTATATTACCACATTACATAAACTGTTATTTAATTTACACGCAAACTGGAAATAGAAAACTACAATTACATTTTGCTTGAACATACCTAAGCAGTCGTTCTAAATGGTTACTACAGCATAGGAAACCAATAACGGAAGCTATAAATGCCACAATGTATGATGCTATAAAACTCCACACAAATGTATCTTTGAACGGGTCAGTCTCCTCTATAATTGACTCTGAAGATGGCTCAATGTTATAGCTGGTGCAGCTTTTCCCCAACAATTGTCCACAAAGTAAAGGGTTACCTTCATAATTGATGTTTTCGAATGTTAAGAACTGCTTCTTGTCTGGTATTCTACCGGATAGATTGTTGAATGCCACATAAAATATTGATAGAAAGTTCAATTCTATCAATTCTTGAGGTATTTGGCCATTCAATCTATTGTGAGACAAGTCCAAACATTCTATCTGCTTTAAGTTGGAGAAGGTAGTTGGGATAGAGCCTGTGAAGTGGTTGTGTGATAAGTTCAAAGTGTGAATATTACTCAGGTACCCGATCTCTTGAGGAATTGAACCAATTAAGTTGTTGAAGGAAAGATCAATCTCAGACATGTAGTTCAATATATTTCCTTTGTATGATTCAGACCTACTTTTTGTTACAAATTCCACTTCTTCTTCCTCATCTGAAGCTTTGTAATGGACACCAAGTATAGGTCTATTTGAAGCCGGGTTTCATACGAGTATGAACTTAAAGGAATATAATAAATCCGTTGGTATACATAAGGCCCAAGTGTGGCATCAAAGGTTCTTTTGCTCCCAGCTAGTACTTTATGCAAGCAAGAAAGCAAAGAGGATGAAAGATTATTTGATGAAATATCCAGCATGCTAATATTCCTAAGGTCACAGAATTGGGAAGGGATTGAACCTTCAAGTTGATTTCCTCCTAGAAGAATAAACCTTAAACTTGAGAGTGAACTTATCCAACTAGGAAGTCTGCCAGATAAGTTATTGTCTCTCATGTCTAGTGTCACAAGTGAAGAAGTTCCAGACAGAACTTTTGGCACAGATCCAGTAAGTTCATTGCCATGCAAATGCAAGTATCTTAGTGATGAGACATCCAAATAGGCAGGTATAGTCTCAGTAAGTTTATTTCTAGACAAGTCTAAAAACCCCAATTCCTTCACTTTGCAAAAGCTCATTGGTATAGGACCTTGTAGGAAATTGTTAGACAAAACTATTGACTTGAGTTGTGAAAGGTATCCAATCCAGTCAGGAATCTTGCCTGTGATTGAGTTGTTGCTCAAATCTAACAATCTCAAAGACATGCTATTTAGCAAGCCACGAGAGAGCTCACCCGAAAAGTGGTTGTTCTCCAGACGTAGATGCTGAAGGCTACTCAGGTTTGAATTTGTAAGAAGAACTTGGCCTTGCAAATTGTTGTTGCTAACGTCAAAATTTCCAATTTGATACATCCCTGGACGAATTCTTTTGGCAGTTCTCCTGACAAATTATTGTTTGACAAGTCAAGTTGATACAGTTGTGTCAACTCTCCCATAGAGGGAGGAATACCACCATGTATTGCATTCATAGACATGTTCAAAATGGTGAGACTTGGAAATGAAACACCTATAGAGTGTGGAAGTACCCCTTGGATTTGATTCATGGATACATCTAACCAGGCCAAATATTCATTCTTTGCTTGATGATTGCAATCAAAAGGACCTGTTAGGAAATTGCTTGCAAGGCTGAGAAATTCCATATTTGAGTTGTTGATGAGCAACCAAGTTGGGAATATTTCTCTCATCCCTGTATGGCTAAGGATAAGGATTCTCAACTCACGTTGCTTTAACATGAAACTAGGTAGGAGATTCCCAGTATGCTGATTGAGTTTGCAATTTGATAACCGGAATATTTTGATCTGAGGTAGAGGCATCGAAGGTGGGTTTTCAGTGTCTACTATCAAGTTACTATTAAAGTTGTCAAGTTCAAAAATTATGGTAATATAAAAATAATAAAAACATTCCATATGATTTAAGATTTTCCTACCAACAATTGGAAGGAAAATTACAAAATATAATATGTGAGTTTTCCGTCCAACATTGGTCGGAATTTCCGATCAATGCACGTAGTTGGACGGAATTTTCGTCCAACGCACGTGTTGGATGGAAATTCCCACGTTTTAAAAATGGTGTGTTACTCGCCTGAATTGCCGTCCAATTTTTGTTGTTGGATGCTCTTTCCGACCAAAAATCGTAGTTGGACGGAATTTTCGACGGAGGTTTTTCCGAATGTTCCTTTTGGTCGGTATGTTGGACGGAAATGTCGTTTCTGACCAAAAGGTTGAATGCCACTCAGCTAAAGCACAAAGACTAGACATTTGCTTTACTACGCACATAGAGCCCCCTCACTTTGAGAGGTTGCTCCCACACTGCCGCTGGTGAGATTCGATTCCTAGTAATTCTTCTCAAATTTCAACCCTATGACACTTTGAGCTGCCCATGCAGGCTACGTGGAATCATATGTGGCAGGTGACTTGAAAGTAACATGCTATTATAAGTCAAATAGGTTAATTGTACTATTTTAACAAGTTAATTTAGGGTTTAATTGAAGGTTTTTTTTTTTTTTTTTAGTTCGAGGAGCTAATTACACTTTGAGATATAGTTGAAGGGTCTATTTGACTTTTATCTATAAAAAAATATATATTAAAAGTGAACTGACACTTATAAATTTAGAATAAAAAATAGAATTAATTTTTTTAAAAAAATTGCAAATTTCATTATTTTATACAAAAAAGTTATCTAATAATAACACTAAACCATGTAAACATTGAACTCGATCAACAAGAGTCACAATCATAACGTTGGACTAAACTATGGTGTGGAGTGTGGGTCAACATATAAATTTGTCCGTCGTTGAAGATCATTAATGTTATTAGACTTGACTAAGTCAATCGACGACATATTTGACTAGTTCCAACAGCTTAATTATATTTTAGAAGTCTTATTTAACAAAAGAAAATTTACATAAGTAACACTCATACTAAATCAATTCAAACGTGATGTTGATTGTTATGTAAGTATAAACAAAATAAATTTGTACATTCTATATTAGCTATATATAATTTTTGTCATGGTGGTATCCTAATAATTGGTAACTAATACACAAGTATAAGAAAATAAAGTTATGTATTTGCTACTAGATCACAGTAACAAAACATAGCTACTACGATGGTTTTTTTACACATACACGGTAGTTTTTAATTTGAAGTGTTGAATAAGTGACTAACGTGGTAAATAAATACTTAATCGATGTGTATGTTATCTATATATGGCGGTTAAAAACCGTTGTATAATCATAAACATACACACCGTATAAATGATTTTAAAAAAACGACATACTTTATAAGGCGGTTCCGAATAATAACTACCGTATATAGCAAATTTACACATTACATATATACTTTATAAGGCGGTTCTGAATAATAACCGCCGTTTAATTAAGGTGACGTAAGTATAACAAAATATATTAGATGACGGTTATTTAAAAAACGTTGTCTATTAAGTGACGTAGTATATCATTTCTATAGTAATGTAAGTATAGATTTTTTGGTTAGATCACGGAGTGTCCAGAGTAGTTCTTAGTTATAGGAGACATTTTAAAGCTCGTAATATACTCAAACTAATTTCAATTGAGTTAATACCCAAAATCGTCCTCGACTATAGTGGTTTTTCTCAATTTCGTCCTAAACGACTTTGGTGACCTAATATCGTCCCAGACTTTTGTGTTTCGCTCAATTTAGTCCTCCATTTGTTATTTCGTCAAATTGGTGTTAAATAAAGGGACAATTCAGTAATGTCAATATTGATATCTCTTTACTTTCAACTTGTGAAGTGCGAAATTCCTCTTTCTTGTACGAATTACACCCAGAATTACCTCCGGACCTTCAAATCAAATTTTATATTCGCAGTTTTAAGAGTAATTCGTAAAAAAAAATGGGATTTCGCAGTTCACATGTCTATGAGTAAAGAGATGCCAATATTAAAATGACTGAATTGTCTATTTATTTAAAACCAAATGGACAGAATAACAAATGAGGGACTAAATTGAGCAAAAACACAAAAGTCCGGGACTAAATTGAGCGAAACACAAAAGTCTGAGACGATATTAGGTCACCAAAATCGTTTAGGACGAAATTGAGAAAAATCACTATAGTCGAGGACGATTTTGGGTATTAACTCAATTTCAATTTGTACCAAACTAGTCCAATTAATGAGCAAAATGTTAAGCGCGCTTAATTCTTACTGCTTATATTATAGATTTTAAAGTAGTACGTGGTAAGTGATTAAATCTTACTGCTTATAATTTATATATAACTAAGAAATATTCGTTTCGGAATATTGAATGTGATTTCAATTAGGACTTTAAATAATTGAATTTCCACTTTTTTTTTTTTTTTTAATGTTAGACTAATTTAAATTTGATGCACACACAGAAGAGTCCAATATCCCGCCACTGCTTGTAAATAAAATAGCTAGCAAGCTAGCTTAGAAGTATCACTCTAGCTCACTAGTAAAGTAAAACAATAATTTCAAAGTGAGGGGTTCCTTGTGCGCAGTGAGCATAAGTCTAACTTCTGTGGTTCATGTTCAGTTGAATTATCATGATTTACATCCTTTCAAATGTTCTGTCGGGTCAGAGTGTGGGCCCTTAGGGTTGGTGTTCAACCTTTTGGAAGAATAATTTCAAAGTTGAATGAGCTTACAAAGTGATTTAAACTATTGAAATGAATTTCCGCTACTTTGATTTAATTTGTCAACGTCAAAGAAAAATCAAAGAAAGAGAAACATGCCAACTTTTGGTGTTATTGTTAGCATATATATATTTGCATATACATCCTTAAGTACCACCAGAATTATATTCGGTCTTGTAATAATTGTAGTTATTAATATAATTTGTATGGAGAATCCTTGTCTCTTTTGTTTATGGATATTGTTAACCTCTGTGCTAATTCAGGTGCAGGGTGGTGATGGAAGTGTTGGGTGTGATGAAGAAGAAAGAAGAGCACTTTTGAGACTAAGAGATGCCTTTAATGGAACCACTGCCCTTTCTTCTTGGGGTGATGGAAAAGAAACGGATTGCTGCATGTGGGAAAGGGTTAAGTGTGACCAATCCAATCGCCATGTCATCCAACTCTCCCTTGGCGATATTAGGCTATGGAGTAGTTCTGATGATTTTTTCCTAAATGCTTCGCTATTTCTTCCCTTCCGGGAACTACAGAATCTGAGCTTAGATTCAAACAGAATACGAGGGTTCCATGAGGTACTAAACTTAAGCAAGTTGCAGGTTTTGGATTTAAGTTCCAATTGGTTTGATGAAATTCCAAGTTTAGGTTTACTGCGCTCACTTAGGATCCTTAATATGGAACTAAACAGCAGGATCAATACTTGGTCTCACTTTGAAGGTGCGTCAAATATTATTATATATAATTCATTTTCAATTCATGGATATATAGTACGCTCTGTCTAGCTAGCTTTCTTAATTTTGCATTTTGTTGCATAACATACACAATATATATTTTTTTGTAGAGCTAACAACCCTGAAACATCTGGAGCTGCTCAATTTTGCTTTTAATGATCTGAGCGGAAAAATTCCACAGTCCCTTGGATCCTTAACCTCTTTAAGGTTTTTGTCATTCATGGGCAATGACCTAATAAGTGGCTCCTTGAAAGATGGAGGTAATTCATTAATCTTTGTATGTATGTTGTGGGTTCCCTTTCTCATTGAATCCATTATCCATCCCAACTTGAATAGTATTTATTCCGTTTCCCAAGTTCTAAACAATATAGTACATAAAACAAGAGTTTAATTTTATTTTTTTATTTTTGTTGTTGTTGTTGAAGGCTAGGGGTTAAAATTCTATTTCACTAGCTCTAATTAACTTGTAACTCTGTAGGCTTGTGCAAGTTGAGGAAGCTTGAAGAGTTGGATCTGAGTTCAAATGAATTTCAAGGAAAAATGCCTTCATGTCTTGGCAATATGACATCCCTTCGTGCTCTTATTCTTAAAGACAATTACTTGATTGGAACACTTCCTTCTGCTGTTTTTTCTACTCTAACTTCACTCACACATCTCTCTTTATCTTTAAACTACTTTGAAGGTTCTTTCTCCTTCAATTCATCATTTGGGAACAATTCCAAACTTGAGATCTTTGAACTTGAAAACCTTAGTAGTAACTTGACAGTAGATACACATTATTGGATACCACAACCTCAGATCAAAGTATTTCGATTAACCAATTGTAAACTCAATGAGCCTGGCGGGAATCTACCTAGTTTCCTATTAAAGCAACGTGAGTTGAGAGTCCTTGACCTTAGACATACAGGGGTGAGAGAAATATTTCCAACCTGGTTGCTTATCAATAACTCAAATTTGGAATTTCTCAGCCTTGCAGGCAATTTCCTAACCGGACCTTTCACATACAACAACCATATTCAATCAAAGAATGAATATCTCAGTTGGTTAGATGTTTCTATGAATCAAATCCAGGGGGTACTTCCATATTCTATTGGCCTTTTTTTCCCATATCTGACCCTTTTGAACATGTCTAAGAATGCAATACAAGGTGGTATTCCTCCCTCTATGGGGAAATTGAAACAACTAGAATTTTTAGACTTGTCAAACAATAATTTGTCAGGAGAACTGCCAAAAGAATTTGTCCGGGGATGTATCAAGTTGCAATTTTTGAAGTTAGAAAACAACAATTTGCAAGGTCAAGTTCTTCCAACAAATTCAAACTTGAATAGCCTTGACTATTTGCGTTTGGAAAACAACCGCTTTTCGGGTGAGTTATCTGGTAGCCTACTAAAAAGCAAGACTTTGGAATTATTAGATTTGAGCAACAACTCAATCACGGGTGAAATTCCTGCCTGGATTGGATACCTTTCACAACTCAGCTCAATAATTTTGTCTAATAATTTTCTACAAGGTCCTATACCAATGAGTTTTTGCAAGCTGAAGAAACTGAGATTTTTAGACTTGTCAAAGAATAATTTTACTGAGACCATACCTGCTTGTTTAGATGTCTCATCACTGAGATACTTGCATTTGCATGGCAATGGATTTACTGGATTTCTGCCAAAACTTTTGTCTGAAGCTTCCTCACTTGTGACACTAGACATGAGAGACAATAACTTATCTGGCACACTTCCTACTTGGATAAGTTCACTCTCAAATTTAAGGTTTCTTCTCCTTGGTGGGAATCAATTCCAAGGTTCTATCCCTTCCCAACTCTGTGACCTTAGGAACGTTAGCATGCTAGATCTTTCCTCAAATCATCTTTCTTCGGTTTTGCCTTCTTGCCTGCATAAATTACTGTTTGGGAGCAAAACAACCTTTAATGCCATGCTTGAGCCTAAGGTCTACGGATGGGCTAGTTATTGGAGTCTGACAACATACTCGCATGAAAGCCAACTTCAAATAGACATATACTTTGAATCCGAGTATATGGCTTCAGATGAGGAGGAAGAAGTGGAATTTGTAACAAAAAGTAGGTCTGAATCATACAAAGGAAGCATATTGAAGTACATGTCTGGAATGGATCTTTCCTTCAACAATTTTACAGGTCCAATTCCTCAAGAGATTGGGTTACTGAGTGATATCCACACTTTGAACTTATCACACAATCACTTTATAGGCTCTATTCCAACTACATTTTTCAACTTAAAGCAGATAGAATGTTTGGACCTGTCTCACAATAGATTGAATGGCCAAATACCTCAAGACTTGATAGAATTGAACTTTCTGTCAATATTCTCAGTGGCATTCAACAATTTATCAGGTAGAATACCCGACAATGAGCAGTTCTCAACATTCGACAACAGCAGTTATGAAGGTAACCCTTTACTTTGTCGGCAACTGTTGGGGAAAAGCTGCAGCAGCTCTAGCACAGAACCATCTTCAGAGCCAATTATACAGAATAATGATGATCCATTCAAAGAGACATTTTTGTGGAGTTTTATAGCATCATATATTGTAGCATTTATAGCTTCCATTATTGTTTTCTTATGTTGTACTGATTATTCAGAACGGCTGCTTATGTATGTTCGAGCAAAATTTGTAATAATTTTCTCTTTTTAATTTGTGTGTAAGTTAATAATAAACTTCTTACCCAGTCATCTATATCTCAATGTGCTTTTATATAAAAATACACAACTTTTAGCACAAATCCAATAAATTCATTGTCATGCAAATTACAAGTATCTAGTCACGAAACATTCAAACAAGCAGGTATAGTTGTAAGTCTATTTCTAGACAAGTACGTCTCAACTCCTTCACCTTGCAAAAACTCAATTCATTGGTATAGGACCTCGTAGAAAATTATCACACTTGTTTCTCTAGCACAAGACAAGTATGCGCCATTTCTCGTTTATATTTAACCATAAGGCTAACCCAAAATTAAAGACCAAACATGGTCCATTTTTTAATCGTTGCAAACTACAGATGGCCAAATTGAAATTCAAGCACCCAATTATACGAAATTACAACTATAGTTGAGTGGCTAAAGGTGGAACTAATTCTTAAATTACAACACAACTTTCAAAGAAGACTGCTTACATACCATCTCTGGCCGTTGCCTTTGAGGCCTCGTTTAGCCAACTGTAAGGTGGCCAACAAAAGCCCTTGGATTACTTTGCTTCTTATGATTTATGAACTCCAGTTTGAGCAATTAATGGCCTGTGCAAATGAAACAAACAAATTACATTTATGGAAAACACAATTGAAAAAAATATATATTGTGTTATCTTGGTAGGCGTTATATCATGTTCTCATTCAATCTTTTTATGCGGCACCAGGACATAGTTCAGTGGTCGAAAGTTTGAGTGTGGGTGTAATGCCCAGCAATTACCTGGTTCGGATTGAAGACCTCAACTATAATAATTCTAATATTTGACAAACCTTCAAAGTGAGACCACGTATTGACCAAGTTGCCTTCCATATTAAGAATCTTAAGTGAGCGCAGCAAATCTAAGCGTGGAATTTCATCAAACATATTTTGACTTAAATCCAAAACTTGCAACTTGCTTAAATTTAGTACTCCATGGAATCCATGTATGTAGTTGGAATTTAAGCTCAGATTCCGTAGTTCCCGGAATGGAAGAAATAGCGAAGTATTTAGGAAAATAGAACTTGATTCTTCAAGATTGTCAAGAGAGAGTTGGATGATATGGTGATTGGATTGATCACAGCTGACCCTTTCCCACCTGCAGCAATCCATATCCATTTCTTCATCCCAAGAAGGAATTGGATACTTAAACACATCTCTTAGTCTCAAAAGTGCTCTTCTTTCTTCTACCTCACACCCAACACTTCCATCACCCTGCACCTCAACTACCACAAAGCTTAACATTAACCATAAACAAAACAAACAAGGATTCGCCATACAAATTAATTAAAGAAATAATATATAATGAGAACTATTAGAAGATAATGGAATATTATATTTTATCTTAGTGGTAATGAAGGATGTGTCTGTGCGTATATATATAGAGAGAGGGGAAACGGATCAATTGAGAACACATGCCTAACAAAGAAATACAATTCATTGCAATGGTCCATCTGGATAGATCCAACGGAAGAAACACTTTTTTAGAAAAAAAAAAAAATGAGATAGACATTTTTGTAAATAATTGAATTTTGGAGTGCAAGTAAATTGTGTTAAAAGTGTAAGTAATAGTTTTTATAAGGTGCACTTAAGTGTAAGTAAAATGTATTAAAAATTTAACAAATATGTATATCGAGCAACAATATTAAGTGCACTTAACGTTAGTTTTATTTGCGTCAAATATTATCATTAAAATGTAAATTACTTGCACTATTAAGTGTAAATAATTCGTAGCTTTTTATATATTATAGGAATAATGGTCAAATAGGCCAGTGAACTGCACACCAAAGTGCAATTAGGTCATTGAACTCAAAAACAATGCAATTGGGTCCCTGAACCACACAAAATTATGCAATTAGGTCTAAAATGACCTGTTTACCTGAAATGCGGGTTACTAATTTTAAAAATAATTTTTAAATATATTTTAAAATAAAATAATTAATTTAAATTATTAAAAAAAAAACTGCCAAAGACGAAAGCTTTGTCTCCGACAGTTCTAGTTTTTTTTTTTTTAATTTTAATTAATTATTTTATTTAAAATTTATTTTTAAAATTGGTAACCGTCACGTCAGCACAATTTCAGGTCAACATGTCATTTTAGACCTAATTGCATGATTTTGTGTAATTTAGGGACCCAATTGCATTATTTTTGAGTTAAATGGCCTAATTGCACTTTGATGTACAGTTCAGTGACCTATTTGACCCTTATTTCTATATTATATTCACCAGCATCAGTCAACCATTCCTAGTAATTCTTAAGAGTAAATACCACCTATGGTCCCTCGAGTTTGGTGGCATCGCCATCAATGGTCCCTAACTTCCATAATTATCATCCGTCATCCTCCGAGTTGTGAAAAGTTACCTTCTAGCGTCCTTCCGTTACTTCCTCCCGTCTTAACCGTCAAAATGGAGGGTAATATTGTCATTTGACTTATACGAAAAGAGTTAATACCAGCCAAGGTCCCTCGAGTTTGGTGGTTTGGCCATCTTTAGTCCCAAACAATATTAAAGAAAGTTGGTGGTTTCTCAACTTCCAACTCGAACTCCCTCTTCTCATATACAATATTAAAGAAAATTTACAAATGTATAGTATTCTCCTCTTCAATTTCTCTCAACGCCATTACCTACATATTAGCAAAATTCATTAGGGGTGTTCTATCGGTTAACCGTTCGGTTAACCGAACTGAATTAATCGAATTTTTTTTCTTTAACCGAACTGAAGTTTGCTCTACCGAATTCACCGAACCGAAATTTTTTTCGATTAATCGGCCGGTTAACCGAACTTTTTAAAGCTAAAATTTAAAATTCTAAAAATAACACCTAAAATAATAAATCCAATTAAAATAAAATACATATCATAATAAATTCATAACAAAATATACAAAAACATTAATTATAAACTCCAAACATCCATAACTTCAAATTAGTATATATATATATATATATATATATATATATATATATATATATATATATATATATATATATATATATATATATATATATATATATATATATATATATATATATTAAAAACTTCGGTTAACCGACCTTTCGAACTGAATTAACCGTTAACCGAAGTTTTAAAATTCCTTTAACCATTAACCTAACCGAAAAAGTTTGGTTCGAAAACGGTTAACCGAACTTTGTCGGTTCAGTCGGTTAACCGAAAATTATCCGAAGTTTGCACACCCCTAGAATTCATATATATTCACACAAATTTTTTTATGATATGATAATGAGAGAAGAAATTTAAACCTGGGAATAGTGGTATTGAGCAGCCGGATACTCTTTAATATACATCTTGTGGAAATCCGTGGGAGGAAGAAGCAGAAAATGCTTCTCCCCAGTGATCACGTTGTATAGATTTTCATAATGATCTTGTGGAATGTTGTCTCCGACAAATCATTCCCAATCCAGAGGTTCACGACATCAGGAAGGCATCCCAGGGCCGCGGATGCCCAGGAAAAATGGGGCTCACAGTCCGAACCGAGAGCTTCATACTCCGAACGGAAGCAATCATTCTGTTGCTGCAGGTAAGCGATGGTGGAACTGTTGTCTGATTGGAGAACCTTTGACAGAGCGTCAGGGAAAGAAAGCTGCTCGACATGTGCTGAGGCGAAGCAGAGGGAAGAAGGAGAGGTAGGAAGGGAGGTAACGGAGTCAGCTCGGACGGTTGGGGTAAGGTGGAGGGAAACAGTGGAGGAGGAGAGGGCGTCGAGGAGGTACTGGGTAGAGTGCCAGAGAGTGGTGGCTGGCCAGTGGTTGATGGCGGAGGAGATGAGGCATGACTTGTTGGGGGAAACATAGTCGCGGAGGAAATGAAGAGGCGTAGGTGGACAGAGGAGGCGGTCGATTTGAGAGGTCGTGCCTAAACTTGAAGGACCTTGGTTTGACAATAGAATCTTGCTAAGATATCCAATTCCATCCTTGAGCACCCAACCTTGGGACTAAAGATGGCCAAACCACCAAACTCGAGGGACCTTGGCTGGTATTAACTCTTTTCGTATAAGTCAAATGACAATATTACTCTCCATTTTGACAGCTGAGACGGGAGGAAGTAATGGAAGGACGCTAGAAGGTAACTTTTCACAACTCTGAGGATGATGGATGATAATTACGGAAGTTAGGAACCATTGATGGTGATGCCACCAAACTCGAGGGACCATTTGTGGTATTTACTCTAATTCTTAATAACAGTTAAAAAAGATTCACAACAGTGAATATGTTTGACCTACTCATCATCAAACAATTTCATCTTTGAAAGCCTAATCAATCAACACGTTTCACTACTTCAAACACTTTTATTTCTAATATGAAAAATAGCAACACTATATATATATATATATATATATATATATATATATATATGTGTGTGTGTGTGTGTGTGTGTGTGTGTGTGTGTGTGTGTGTGTGTGTGTGTGTGTGTGTGTGTGTGTGTGTGTGTGTGTGTGTGTGTGTGTATATACTAGTTTTTTACGCGCATTTGCGCGATTGGGATAATGCCCAATATTTTTTTTTTTAAATAAGTACTTTAAAGTATATTAAGGCAAGATTATATTAGATTGTTCATGCATAGATAATTGAATATTAAATTTGAATATTTAAATAGGCAATTCTAAGTTTACAAATGCAAGTTAATATAGTCAAGATTGATTATAATTGTCAATAAAATAATTGTATAGGTATACTTGAAACCAAATACGGGACATAAGGGAGAGCAAATAAAAATTAGGGCATAAAATATTAAATATATACTAATATTGAAGAGCTAACTGCTGATTGCCAAACAAATACATTGCGAGATATTTTCTCACTTCAATTTGTTGTGTGATTTGAATACTCTTTTTGTCAATAAATCCCCAAGTAGTTAATATGATTGGCTTAATTTTTTTAATTTTTTTTAAAATTATTATTATTATTATTATTATTATTATTATTATTATTATTATTATTATTATTATTATTATTATTA